CTGCACTCCCAGGAAGACTTGCTTCAACTCAACACCAAGACATGATGGCCAGCATAACTACAGACCCAGCTCACTCTCTGACCACCAAGCACAAGTGTTGCACAAGTGAATGTCAAGTGTTGCTCAAGTGTCGCTCAAGTGCCCTGTTTTCCAGTATAAGTGCTTGGTGGTAATAGGTCCATATATAAGGCAAGCAAGGGCTTGTCACTGCAGGCAGTTATGAAGTGATCGCTGCCAATGGGAGAAGGGGGAGAGGGAGCATACTGCCTGAGTAACTGCCCCGTTTGTCAGTGTGTCAGTGCAGTGAGAAGCGGATTGACACAGCACTCAGAGTGCCAGCACTGGCGAGCACCAGTGCACCATCACACACCATGCATGACACTGCAGCCTCACTGAACCAAGGTGGCCTGCTAGGAACCCACACCTACACCAATATTATCCTGAAGGCTGCATTGTCAAGCTCAGAGTCCTTGGCCGTGAACTGTTCAAAAGTTTGAATTACTTGTCCAGGCCAAGAGGGCCACTTCACTTCAAGTGCAAATCACAAACAACAAGGGAATATAAACGGCTGGTGATGATGACCCAATGCAGCCTCACTGACTTCTGCAGTTACTACACTAGTACTTAACCAGTGAAGGCAAAGCGTAGCAAAATATGGTGTAGGGGGGCAGAAAGCCCAAGGCATTTTCCAATGCCGGGCAGGAAAGCACATCTGTCGAGCCACTCTGGGAGCACTTCAGAAGCTTCACTTCGTGCATGAGCTCATCATGTCCCCATGTCCCGGACACAACTAGCAAGTAGGCTGCTCTTCTACAATCCAGTACAGCCCAAGTGCATGTTCTATTCTCACCAGGCATTCCCAGTCCCTAGCTATTTGCAGGCCGTGTGACATGGCCAAGGGTACCAGGAAATATCAGGCCAGGTGGGCACATGGTGCAACTACTCAAACTGTTCAAATTTTCAAATCAATTTCAAACTTAATGCCCGTGTGTCAACATGAGTGGCTGGTCAATCTTCAAGGGATAGTGAAGGGAATTGTTGACCCAGAACGTGCAGCAACCAATATCATCTTTGAGTCCTGAGAAACATAGTGTATGCTTGCCTGATACCAAAATGGGCACAGAAACGCACTCCATGCCCATGCTTATGAAGTAGGGTTGCTTCTGGAACAAGGTCAAGGGTGCATTGCCATCCAGCTACACTTTCAACTTTCAAATTTCAAATTCAAATTTTCAAATTTCAAACCTCTTACCACTGCAACTGACGAAGACAAAATCTTGCAAGTCACTCTGATTAGTTAGTTAGTAGAAAATGAAACACCCCACTTCCCCTATCAGAATATGCCATGTGACCGTACACCTTGTCCTGCTATTTAAGGCTATGCTATGCAGAGTGTAGACATGGCTGTACAGTGCAATGTTCCCCAAGGCATGCAGGCATCTTCATCTTCTCACCCGGACACACCATACCAGCTACATGTCTGTATGTTGGTCTAGGTATTCTGCAGACTCCACAAGCCAGCATCAGCACTATACAGCCAGCAATGTACAGAGCATTGTTCTCATCATGACAGTAACTACATGTAACTGGAAAAGAGAGTGCAAGACCAAGGAACCTAGCATCTACCCTGCAGCGTTCCATGCTAAGCCCCAGTCATTTCCAGCAATTGGGACCAAGCTAGACGAATTATGAGGTTTAAACTTTGGAGCTGGAAAACGCCCAGATTGTTCACAACCCTGACTTGGCAGGCAGCAACTAACGCACTTACTACAGGATGGGTTACAGTCACTGAGATTCTACAAATGTGTGTACCCAAGGAAGTTGTGACTGCCTGAAGGTGTTGCGTGTCACTGTGGCTCCCTGAAGTGAAGGTTTTGCTCAGTCCTCGTGACTGCCTGAAGCGAAGGTTTTGCGTTTCACTGTGGCTGCCTGAAGTGAATGTTTTGGGCGCGGAAACGTCAACCTGTTCATGGTCCAGATACTGACAGTACTCCATTCCCGGTCTGTGAGTAGGTACACACCGTGACACTATCAGGGAGTAGCCATCTCTTACGGCCTTAGGGGCAGCATGATTAGTAGTGTATGGGACCATCACCAACATCAATACCATGTGCCAAGGTATGTATAATCACCATGTACATGTACATCTGCCCAGTACAGTGTACATGCAGTCACACACACACATACACATACACATACTGGGTTACCGGGTAGTTTTCCCGGACACCTACAGCCTCTTCAGAAGTCCACCTACATGGATTTCCTGCACCTTAGTCCTTAGTAGACCTTACCCACCACATACCTCTAGGCAAATTCCACTCAGTCACACACTCACTCACTCACCATCACCCCACTGTGCATGCGAGGATGGCTCGAGTACACGGATCATGGAGTACTCCAGGGAAAGGACATAACGGGCACACAGCACTCAACACTGCATTGCCAATGTACAACACTAAAGCACTGAAAACAGTGTATAGTGCACAGTGCATAGTGAGTGACCATATGGCCTTGTGTATGGGTCCATGTACATGCATACATGTACAGCATAGGGTCACTAGTGTGTCGGGCCTGAGTGTGGCGACATCCTGATTCATATGGTAATGCTGCTAATAGTCGTACAATGTGTACATGTGGAGTGTCTGTGCATGTGCTGCATTAGCTCAAGTGGCCACTTGCATACTGAGCTGCAATTCAGTGGCTTGCAGGCATACTGGTGCCAAATCAGTGTCTGATTCAAATTACTCCAGAGCACAAATGCACACTTAGAGACCACTTACCAACTGCAGCCATGGATAAGCACAGCTAGTCAATTTACAAAGTGCCAGGTCCTTCGTTTGCCCACTGGTAGCAATAAGACGTGTGGATGCTAATTATGGGTACTCCTAGCCTGGGGATGTGCAGTATAGGCTGGTCCTTGCTTAGAGTATGATATGTGTGTGTGTGTGTGTGTGTGTGTGTGTTTGTGTGTGTGTTGTGTGTGTGTGTGTGTGTGTGTGTGTGTGTGTGTGTGTGTGTGTGTGTGTGTGTGTGTGTGTGTGTGTGTGTGTGTGTGTGTGTGTGCGTGTGTGTGTGTGTGTGTGTTATGCATAGACCACACGTACTTGTCCTGAGCACAGAGTAGGAGTCTGGATGCTACATGAATAGTGTTTAACCACTCCGGAGTACTGTATGGCCTCACAGTCCTGGCTAAACAGTACGGCTACTGAGATAGCACAAGCTGGAGCTGAGCAGCAAGTGCACAGCAGCAGCAAGTACTGAGTGCACAGCAGCAGCAAGCCTGCACATTTGCCCAGAGTGCTACTCCAGAGTTGATCACAATAGATGGCCTACGTTGTGCTTTATGGGTGGTGGTGGTGTCAGTACAGTATGGTTCCTGCAAAGGGTTGCGGGTGGGTCTGTGCACGAGTAAGTAAGTGTTCACAGTCCAATCTGTACAGTGTACTGCTAGCTGTAGTGTAGGGACAACTATGGTAGTGCTGTCACATGACACATGATTGGTAGGTGCACACTGCACAGGCTACATATGCATGCTAGTTATGGTGTGATGGTTTTAAAAACTTATCTCAAGTACCCAGCATAAGTACGTTAAGTATGCTTGAGTTTTACTGCAGCCAAGCACTGGTAGCTGACCTACCACCAGCATGGTTATCATGCATGCAGTGTAGTGTGTAGCACACATGTACATACCGTTTATCACTGCCTGCGACATGCCAGATACAGTGCTGATATCCAATGTCTACACCCTGGTGCCGGGCATGGGCTTATCTAACTGAGAACTACAGTACTTTCAACCGGAGCTGTGCTAACCACCACACACACACTGTGATTGGTGCAGCGATCTGGAACGTGACATTTGCCAGAATTCGGATTTCAAATCTCCACATGATAGGAGAAAGTAGTGCACAATACATACACACACTCTACACTGCTCAATCAGTCCAAGTTGTCCACTCTACATTGGTTTGATAACTGGCCCTTCACTGGCTTCTGGGTCACATGAGCCTAAACAGTCAAGACTGTTGGTCAAGTACTTCAATGGCACCAGCTCTCCACCGTGATGTCATCTGCAACTGACCCAGTGGCTCACTGAACACCAAAGCCATTCTCCACAGCTTTCCAAAGTCAGCTAGCCACAAACTTTCAAACTTCTCAGCAACTTTTTCAAACTGTCACAAGCACTCCACAACTTGACCCTGCTAGCAACTGGCAATTGTTTCGAATATTTGATCTGCGATTTGAAGTTTTGAACGCTGGAGTACTCACCAAGCGGCTAACCAGCTGAGATCAAGGGCATTTCACTTGCTACAACTCTACAAAACACCTGACTGGCTTTCTGCTTGCACTACCTTGCAGACACTGGCACTAAAAAGGGTTATTCTGCTTTTCCTATTCTACTCTGTCTCTCTCTAAGATGACTGACTAAACAACAAGTTTTACAAGGGCTCAACCTAAAACACATGCAAACGCCACAACTAATACTCTTTCAACTGAGGAAACTGCCTAAATGCTTTGGCTTCACACCAGCAGCCACATGTTCATGTATCACAGCCTCGATACACGAGAAAGTGTTTACAAAACTGCACATGGTTGCCAACTAGGGTAGAACCAGAGGAGGTCCTCAGTGCTGAAAAGTGTCAGAGCAGTCCGCCCCATAACAAGGTACAAAGGATTACACCAGGACCCTGGGGTCATGTACTTGTAGACCATTACACTACGCACAGCAACATTACAACTTACAAAACTAACTTGCATTACAAAACACCACACATTCAGCCCCACTAATGCTGAAGGGAAACCTACCATAATGCGGCTACATGTACCACACATAGAATACGTCCAGTTGGCCAGAAACAAAATACACCTAAGGCCTAAGAAGTTCTTTGGGATCAACTAACCAAAAAACTTCCACAATTACGAGAGAGGACCAGCAACAGCAAAATTGTTTTAAAGAGCATTTCATTGGACAGCAAATACACGTGACACTAAACTCCACTCACCTGTTGAGGACTTGACAGCCGAAACCTTCAAGGTCCTGTGAGAGCGCTTGCCAAGAAGACTGAACGATGTCTTGCTGCTCGTAGGTGAGTTGCTGGCCGGCCATGGCCACATCTTCCCAGCTGCTGAAAACGCTGGGATATAATGACAATGATGATGATGATGTGGGGCAATGTGCAGGCATTGGGTGGATCTTGCTTGAACGAGGCATCTTGATGGGCGGACTTGGAAGCCTTCTTTCTTGGACGAGGGTGAGGAGGAGGAGGAAAATTTCAAACTGCTCATTGACCGTTGAAGACCGGGAATGGGTTCAGTTCAGTTTGAAAATGACAGTTGAAGAAATTTGTCTAACTGAAATTTGGTCCAACGATATTTTCTGATGGCTTTGCTGGATATACAGCGTACTGAGCCTAGATAGTTTTCAGTGCAGTTACAGTATGAAGTAATGCGTACTCATCCGCTGGGAGAAGATGGCCGATCCACTTGAGATGGGGAATTGAGACCCTGCAAAGTATCACTCTAGCGCACATCCACTCACTCTAGCGCACATCCACTCCAGTATCTCAGTACTGACAGGTCCCAGGGCAATGCTGCTGCTTGTAGAGTATCCTGAGCTGTTCAGCAGGGTGGTCACTAACTCTACACCCGTGGAGTAGCGAAGTCGTTGATATCCCTAGTGCCACTAGCACCCAGTAGTGGTCGAACACTCACGCAGAGAACGTGCAGCACCCAATGGCGATACAGAAGCACTCCAAACTCACAAGTGACCACTTCAGCACGAAATACGTCAGTTCCAGAGGTACCTAGCCAGCACACCTGACTCGTTCCTCTCGTTCCGCTCGCTAAATCTCTGCAATGCTATCGGCGAAGTAGCGCACTGACACCACAGCACGGCTCTCTGCGCGAAGGTAACGAATCACGGAAATGATCCTTGCAGCTCGTCGGTAGCTCTCACCTTCACCCTTTCAGGACGCTAGTAGCGGAGCTCGAGTCGGTCTAAACTGTGAGTTTTGGTGGACGGCTGCTTGCTAGTTAATTTACACAACACTGCACTGCAGTTCAGCGCCAAAGCGTCCTAATTGTTGTAGCAAGGATCAAAGTCTTTTGCAACGGCTCTTTCCTTCCCCGCTACAAGCTACAACGGTACATCTACAAGCCTTCTCTTTCTCTCCCGTTCCGAGCAGCTGCGCGCAAGACAGAAAACCTAATTTCGGCGCAGAAGCTGAGCGAATCAGTCCAATGCTGATTTACCGTCAGCAGCCGATGTCTCTGACCCTCAAACACCTTTGCAGAACTGTGCCAGACCTTGTTCGATGTCAAGCGCTTTTTCTCTTTCTGGCACGCAGAGGATAATGGCTCAAACAGAAGCTGTTTGGTTCGCCTAATCGACCCACAAATCAACCGTTAGACTGTCTTCTTCCTGACGGGTGGGCAAAACGACATGCGCACCGCTTCTAGCGTGCACTTCCGTCGCTGCAGCTAGGTATGACAGGAAATATTAGCCGCGACGTGAAACGTTTCCTGCGCTGGTTGCGAAACGTCGTGCGAGATGTCACCACGACGGCGTACTAGCGGTGCAGAGCGCTGTGTGTGTGCTGTTTGCAGCGCAAAACCTCCGGTTGATCTCCCCGAGCGCGAGATAGTACACGCTGATATGAATCTGAATGGACAGGGCGCTCGTCGCTCGAGTACACTACATGACTCAGACTGTACACTCGCATCTACTACTAGTTCTAGTCAACGAAAAAACTCTACAGACTTCCAACCCTACATGACTCATGACACCATGGACACGACAGAACAAGAGTTCGCGTTTGAACTCGACCTTCTCCGCGGATCACCCAGGCACACGGGATCGGAAGGTCTTCAGACTTCAGTCTAGTCGACCAAGCAGCAGCTTGGAAGCTTTGCCGTCTGTTCGCGGGTTTCACCCTTTTGCTTTTTTTTGAATCTTGTGTCAAGTTGTGAGTATGTTTGTGGGCCTAACGACAGCCCAAGGGCGTTGCAAAACTCAAAATGCAAGAATACGTGTAGGTAAAGGCATTCAGAGAATCTTGTTGGGCGTAATTCAACCCCATCGTGTCAAAAAAATGGCGATGATAGGCTTTGTCGTCTTTCTTCAGATCATGCACGCTGACTGTTCTACACCAGCACAGATATTGTGTAACGACCAACACGTTTTGTACGGTTTACACTCTAACAGACAGTCACCTGCAAATAGATCAGCATCACGAGTATCCTTGCCGCAGTCATCGGCAGGAGGAGCGGGCACCAGGGAGTAGTAAAAATCACTCCCTGGTGGGAACAACCACAGACCCCCGACTCGCCCGAGTCTACAGTCTAGTTCGAACGTTCCGTCCAGTCTCGTGTTCCGTCACATACGGTTCTTGTCACCTAAGTCCTTTGCCTTTGGAAGGCTTTGTGACTTCGTCACCGAGAGTGGAGACCGCAGTGCGGGCAGTGGCAGGTCGTGGCAGGTCGTGTCTCCAGAGGCAGAGGCGGAGGCAGTATTATCTTTCCCCTGGCTGCTGTTAGTTCTGTCTTCTGCCGTGAGCTGTGAAGGGTGTGTGGCCAGGTCATCGGCTACAAAGTGACTACAAAGAAGATAATATGAAGCCGAACCTGGCGATAGCCATCTACACCTTGCTGTAGCCGACTGCGTTGACACAGCGAACGTTTCTTCAAGTATCAAATTATCCCATAACCAAATATGTACAGGCCACCATTAATCACACATCTCGTCATGACATGTGGAGCACACTTTTGCTTCCAAAGCCAGTCCTTGCTTGACTCCTTGGAGTACGAGTGCGGCATGACCAGACATTAATTTTTTTACATGGAAACTGTGGGCACAAGTAAAGTTTTTCCTTGCCTCACCATCTGAGTTATTAAATTTTGTCCTCGGCAATGCCTTCCTCAGTGACCGCTCTGTAGGGTATCACAGATAGCTCGTGTAATGGTTCCATGTCCCGACCACTAACACAGCGGTACGAACATGAAAGTACAAACAATGGTGCAGGAAGACAAATTCTCGCATCGTTCCCCATGGTTCGCAGATCACACAACACCCGTGTCGTTGGGAAGCGCCGTACACCATGGTACACGCAACGGTGTTGTAAACATGAACACAGAAGGTTTACCATAGCAGTAGGACGTCTCGAACCGTGTCCACGTCGGCTGAAGTGAAAGACTGTTGCTTGTAGTTGGACATTGGGGAAGTGGTGGTACGTGAGTGGTGAGAGGGGGGCTTCATACTGTTCGAGTGCTGCACTGTAGTCAATAGATCTTGGACAGCATTACACCAGTAACGTCGTTGTTATTCAGCAAGGGTACACTTGTCTTGGGACTACAACCCATTCAGTCTTTGCGCCTGTGGTGGAATCAAGTCAGTAAGTAACAGTTCCTGGAGCCTTCATCTTGCCCAACTCTACTCCCACTGATCTAGTATGTTGCAGTGATCGGATGCGCTACACATTAATGTCTAACTAAAGACTAATACTATTACCGGTATCAATGCTGCTGATATACTTGTGTATTGGCGCCATTGTTGACCAACTCTGACCTATAGAGTATAGTCGGAGAGACCATCGACCTGGATGGAAGTAGTTATCTCGCAAGGATACTGTCACGCGACGTACTACATTGTCATTGAAGAACACCAGCGACTGTGCTGTTGTGTAGCGCCAACAAGATTGACTGGCTGAGTGGCTGACTACACTGGCCTGGGAGAACTCACTACAACGTTTGGATAGAGATGTGGCAAGTAGCAGTCGCGACGATACGAGCCTCCTGAATTATAGCTGTCATGTATCAGTATGTTTGCAGCTCACTGCTCAGCGTGTCTGACCGTAACTAATATTCAATGATTGCAGCAATGCCCTTCTTCCCTAGGTCCATACACTGCTGGGAAGCGTCATGCTAGACGCATTGCTACTTATTATTTCCTCCCCAGTGCCACTGTTAGACATCATGGTTCAGGAATGACCAGTGTCAGGGACTAGAGGTGATGATCTGTTGTGAAGAAGTTCTGAACTGTACCTGGTCACTGTCTTTGCGCTGCAGCAGCAGTAATCGCCAGCATGACCGTGTCGTCTAAAGACAGTACAACTAAAAGGACAAAAGATAGCAATACCCCATCATGGCTACGGTACACTGTGCTCCGTCATCTGCGTGCTGTGTGGTTGGCACAACGAGACACGGCTAGTATGGCATTATGAATACAATCATGTACCAGTGCAATCACGTACAGTGGGCGGTGCCGACAGTGTATGTTATACACACGACTTACATGTACATGATTGTACATGTTCATGTACATACACGCGCACGACGCACTAATGTCGTACACAACTCCGACTTCTGGCAACAGTCATGCATGCCATGGCTTTCACATGGTATAGTACATGATGTACATGTACATTGTCAAACCCTCCTACTCCTCTTACTAGTCTTAGTCCTAGTCCTAGTCTTAGTCCTAGTCCTAGTCCTAGTCCTAGTCCTAGTCCTAGTCCTAGTCTTAGTCCTAGTCTTAGTCCTAGTCCTAGTCTTAGTCCTAGTCCTAGTCCTAGTCCTAGTCCTAGTCTTAGTCCTAGTCTTAGTCCTAGTCTTAGTCCTAGTCTTAGTCCTAGTCCTAGTCCTAGTCTTAGTCCTAGTCTTAGTCCTAGTCTTAGTCCTAGTCTTAGTCCTAGTCCTAGTCCTAGTCCTAGTCTTAGTCCTAGTCTTAGTCCTAGTCTTAGTCCTACTCTTAGTCCTAGTCTTAGTCCTACTCTTAGTCCTAGGGATCCCTCCAACAATCTAGCCCCCCCCCCCCCCACCGGAACTGGCCACAATGGTGACAAAGAGCAATGTTACTTGAGCCAGGTAGGGGTACCTTGTCAAACCCTCCGCAGGGATCTCTGGAACCAACAGTCTCCCCGGAACGGACCACAGCCATGACAAAGAACCACATTACACATCGTGACATGTATTTAGTATTCCACTAGCCAGCTCTTGATCCGACTTCAACAAGTCAGATGTGCCTGACCTGAAAGCACTATAACTACTCATTCTGCCTTTCTGAATACTGGAGTGTGATAATATTATGATTATCTACTCCATACCGATGGCGGATGGGTTGAGTGTTTTCCCTGGGATACTTTCCCTGGACTGAGGCTTTACATTCTTCCTCCTCCAATGGAAAGAAGGACTCTGTACTCTGCAGGATAGTTGTTTTGCTGCGCCGTGTTGTGGTGGTACATGTGTCTGATGTACGTATGGGCTTCTCACAACAGCCATAGGACAGTTTACTCCGTTCGTCTGCCAAACAACAACGTCAAAGCACAAACATGCTGAAGAAGCCGTTCACGGACCGTCGATCGCACAGTTAGTTCTGCATGCAGAGTGGAGGTCTGTCCGGAGTGGATGAAACCATGTCGGACGACACGCACATGCTCTAGTGCACAGGCGTACCGTTGCCCGGGCCTGTTACAGTCGATAGTCAAGGTGCCCCATTATTTTTGGCTTGCAAGTGGTTGGTGGTCCGTTGTGCAACTGCTTAATTTGTAGTGTACGCAGTCGTTCTATTGATGATGATAATAGAGATGAAAGTCACTCCTGCTCTGCTTTTCAAGTGGCAATACTTGTCTTCACTAAAGCACGTACTTGGCTCGCTCAAATACGTTGGCCACTTGACATCAATTCTGTAGAGAGCTAAGGGGATGCATACGACATCTCCCTGTGTGAAGTAGTTGATCACTTACCCGCAGGCAGATAAACTGCCACCAGTGCGTGCGTCGCGATTCACCACCTCTCTCTAGCTAACGTATTTTGTCAAGTTAGTTTATCGTCGCGTCGGGAAAAGGGCGCCACGTTCGAAATCGTGTCCTTATCTCCTGGCGGCTGCTGACGATGTACATTTACGTGGCAGCAGCGCAAGCAAAGGCAGCAGCAGCCCCAAGAATGGGTGGCGTTTCAAAGCGTTCGTTACCCATCAACTCGATTCTTGCTGTGCACCAGTTTCCAGTTCAGATCCTGACAGTGCTTGAGCACGGTTCCAACAGTCAACTACTTCATGCAGTATACAATCATGTTCATGTACGTGGTGGATACAATGAAGCCACAATAGTCAATACAAGAGTTTAATAGTCTAGAGTGCCATGAAACCTTCCAATGGTCCTCACTTTGTTCTACTGGAACATTCAATTAGTTTCCATGATTCCGAGGTCTTTGTCAATGCTGGCCGGTGGATCAGCGGTGCTGTAACCACAGGCCAGTGGCTACTACTGGGGCAGTGCGAAACTAATCATATCAGCGAATTATGATTCGAAGTCAACCATCAGATCTAAAAAAAGTAAGGGGATGAGATGGGTAGGACATGCAGTACACATGCACGGACTTTAGCGATAATTCTGTGAGGTGAAACTGAAAGACCTCCGATTCCATACATGTACCTTCGAGTTATGTCCGAAAGAAAGATGCATTCAGTACAATGTACCTGAAAAGGGTAC